TCAACCACACAATTATACTAAAGTGAAATATTTGCATACCCTTGAAATGGACTGGAGTCCATAGAAGTTGTCGAAACCATCATTCTCATGGGGATGAAGAGCAGTCATCCCATGTGTTTGATGAGATTTTGATAGAGTCTTCACCAATCCATTCTCCACAAGCACGGATTTACTTCTCAACCTCTCTGAATTCTTTCTTGGCATACAAATAGGACATCCAGCTGAGTTTCCCCTGCATGAAGCTTCATTTCCCTGAGGTTCGCATTGGAGATGTATTGCATGACCACAGCTGAAAATTTGAATGCTAGAAGCTGAGAAATCTTTTGTGAGGGGGCAGTTACAAATGCAACATAGGAGGCTCCGCGGTGCAAATCCATGAGAAGCTCCTCTCTTCAGTAAGCTCAAGGAGGAATAAGTATCATCTTCAATCAATGATTTAGCAGTGTCCTGTAACAGAGTATGGAAGTAGTCACTATGAAAATACTGCAAATTACCAATTTTTTTGTTCTTTTCAAGTTAGCTGTTCTGGTTAGAAGTCAGGATTGATGGTTTTGCCGCCTCTCCAGTTATTCAAACAAAATACATCAAGTAGCGAAGCAAATCAGTTTTCCACATTGAGGTTTCTACATAGAAGTTGAGACATTTTGAAATTGGGATCCAAGAAACAGAAAGAGTTACTTGCACAGGATGCCACCGACGCAAGAATACAACCTTTAAAAAGAACAACAAAAAAGGAAGAAAACGGACTTCGATGACTCATGCACAAGTGTACATTTATTATTTTTTCACCTTCTCATATTTTCATCAATTAATCAAAATATTTGCTTGAGAGAACTCACAGGTTTGAAGGGTTTAACACATTGATTAGCCAGATATGGGAATTCTTCTGCAACCAAATGAAGAAAAAGGTGTAGGCCAAAGGATATACATTCAGACACCAAACAACAAGTAAAAACCTATTTAAGTAAACATCACAAGCAATTTACATAGAGTGAATGAGTGATGTTCAATGATAATCTTATTGACACGCCGTACTCACAAGATAGGAGAGATGAGGAAGAAACATAAAAGGAAACCTACCAAAATCCGCCTCTCAAAATCATATGTTCCAAGCATCCCCAGTATAGTAGGTTTGAAATCACCAAATTCCTGTGTCTCATTATCTGAAAGAAGCTTTAGTATGATCCTTGGGAGGCTTACATATCCAATCATTCCTTCGATAATCTCTTTGATAAACACAGAAAGCAATTTCCTGAGGATGTGAGCATTTCTATGAGATTTTGACACCTTCCACTGAATTTTGCAAGCCTGCTGACCTTCTTGCATGCATTCTTCTTCTTTGTACCTTATTTTACTGTGATCATGTGAATCCATCAAAGGCTCACAAAAACTGTATCAGGAATAAAAAGAGGGAATCAATAAGCAGGTGATGCAGATGATGTAACGATCCATTTTTGTTCCGGCGATTTGAAATCCATTGGGTAAATAGAAAAGATTATTATGGACAGAAAATAGTTATAAGTTATGTTTTATTTGTGCCTGAAAGGAATTTTCTTTACCTATTAAAAAAGCTACTTTTCAGGCACAAATAAACACTAAGTTGCTCGGACTCTTCACTTATGATGCCGCACCCGTGTCGACGCGACGTGGGTGTGGGTGTGTGATCCGTACCAGATCTGGTCAATTTTGACCAAAATCGACGGAGATATTTGACCAAAATCGACGGAGATATTCGAGACAGATATAATGATTTTTGAAATCAAAACAAAAGCTAGGGTGAAATTGAAGAAATGTAATACCTTTTATATAGAAATTTCTATGCCAATCCTTTTCCTTTTATCTCCTTCTCGGATTCTCCTCTTGATCAATATTTTCTCCTTCTCGGAGTACCTTGTAAGTTTTCCACATAATGTCTTGTAATTTAGACATACTTTTATAAATCTACTTAGATATTTGAATTATTTTTAGTCGAATCCCTGCACTCGTATCCTTACTTGGATCCATATCCCCGAATCTTAAAATTTAGATCATGAAGGATCCGACCTCTAGATCCGAACCCGTATCGATCACCCGCACCCGAGTCCAAGCAACTTAGAATAAACATGACTTCCAACTATCACGCTTTAATTTAATGCTATTACTTATATTTTAGGCATAAAAAATATGAGTTCTAACTCTTGCTTGACATTAAATGTCATTCTCATGCAAATAGACCTGAGTTTCCGGAGTTGCTCGGACTCTTCACCTTCGGTGCCGCACCCGTGTCGACGACATGGGTGTGGTGTGGGTGTGGGTGTAGATCCGTACCTGGTCAATCGATTTTGGGTACTTTGACCAAATCAACATAGAAATTCGGGACATAAACAATCTCCTTCTTGGATTCTCCTCTGGAAATGTAGGAGGCCTATAAGTTCCAGTTAGAAAATATTTTCTGTTTTCTTATTAGCTTAGTTCAAATGTTAATATTCTTCACTTTTTATGGTTAATGAATTTTCCTGCGCTCTACAAGCACCATGAAAGTTTTTCACATAATGTCTCATAGTTTAGGCATATTTTATAGCTCTATTTTTAGATATTTGAATTATTTTTAGCTGAATCCCCGAACCCGTATAAGTACATGGATCCGTACCCCCGAATCTTAAAATTTAGATCATGAAGGATCTGACCGCTAGATCCGCACCCATATCGGACACCCGCACCCGAGTCCGAGCAACTTAGTGAGTTTCTAACTGGTTATTTTAATGAGTAATTTATACTAGGTTCGAATTTCTGAATTTCAATTTAATTTGGAATCCTTGTAGTTGTACTTGTTTTACAAACAAAACATAGATTAAAAACATTTTATATTTTCAAGTGTACATATAACAACAGAGTTACTTAGTTACTCCCTCCTTTTCAATTTAAATGACACTTTCATTATTCGTCTGTTCCAAAAAGAATGACACATTTCTATATTTAGAAACAATTTAACTTGGAACTTTTTATTTTACCCATTTTGCCCTTAATGAGAAGCTTTTATAGCCACACAAATATTATGGCCCCACAAAGCTTTTACCCCTTAAGCTTTTAGGACCACATGTTTCAAAAGTCTTCTTTTCTTTCTTAAACTTTGTGCCAAGTCAAACTACCTCATCTAAATTGAACGGAGGGAGTATAACTTATAAGTGTTATAACTTATAAGTGTTATATTTTTTAGAAGATTTCAGATCAACCAAACACATGGAGCATACTTATTTTGATGAGAAATAATAGTCGTAGATGAAAAGCTATGTAATCTGGATACCAGTGGAACTTTAAAAATGTAATCTTTCCAATTCCATAAGTTGTATTATTAGATTGAATTTCTATTAATGCAGAACATTAAGTAGTTAGATATTGTTAAAGAACTTGTTTCTATTTTCAATTTCAGTGAAACGGTTAAACAGGGAGATTACTAATCAAGAATCTTGATATTTTCACATAAAATAAGAGATCAATGTTCAGAAGGCGTAAAGTTACCAACGGGAATACAAACCTGTCAAAGTAAATGAAAAATGGAACTAAAGTGAAACTTGGCGAACACGAATAGTTAAGGTAAGCAAGAAAATAAGCAAATAAAGGAAATTGGCTTACGAATCAAGCAATTGAAACCAGAGACTCTCTGCTTCATCAGGGTCCAATCGGGGGCTGTTTCTCTGGCACAGTCCAATACAAGTGCGCAAAATATCTAGTATGACAGTGACCTGCAAGAAAATAAGATGTTGAAGGACTAGACCTAACAAGACAAACCTTTATCATAAAAGAGTAATAGAGGAAAAAAACCTCTTTCTTGCTTAAAGTAGCTTTGAAATGCTCAGGAGCCGCATCAGAGTGTTTACTTTCAACAGCAGTATCAAGCAGGATGAATTTTTCATTAAGTGAAGATATAACAAGCAAAAGGGCACTTCCAATGTCACCAACCCTTTCTAACAAGAAAGCAGCTGCATCAACAATTCCATACTCCTGGCACAAACGCAAGCAGCGTTCCACCCTATAGCTTTCAAAAGTCTCCAAAAATCCAAGGACTGACTTAGGCTCATACCTACATAACAGCTACACAAAAGAAATTGTATAAGGAAGATATTGGACTTAAATGGCAGTATAAGACTAAACTGCATCTGCAGGACCTAAGTCATGCTTCACAACTAAGGCTCTAAATGGAAGTGGCTTCTTTTTGACATGGAAAGAAGCCACTTTCATTTAGAGCCTTAGTTGTGAAGCATGAAGGTCCTGCAGAGCTCTATATTGTATATTCTGAAGCAGACTTTTAAGAAAATCTCTATACTCTGGTTTTTACAACACAGTCTGGTAGTTATTATCACTAACAGCAGGGGATTGTACCAAAGTTGCCAGATTACTTTATTTAGATGCAATAAAACACTGATTGAGAATAAAAAACTAAGATAGCTCTAAAGAAATAGGCTGACAAGTAGTTGGTCATATCTGCTGGAGGCAAAAGAGAGGGTCCATGGAAAATACATCAGTTAGTTGTGGGATGAATTTAGCCAAAACACTCATTCAAGATATGTAATAGTAAATACGTCATGTTCTGGGAAGATAGATGGCTTAGAAATAACTCTTTAGAAGAGAAATTTCCAGCAACTATACCTTTTGCCCTCATCCCCACATGCTGCTGTAAGTCATTGTAGAGTAGAAGGCAACTGGAACTTACTATTCAGAAGAAATATTCATGACAGGGAACTGGAGGAAGTAGTAAATCTTCTATCAAGGCTAGAAGTAAGAGTCAACCCCTCATGATGTAAGTTGGGGTGGAGTTGTGGTAACAATGGTATTTTTACTGTGAAATGATGCTACTTCAATATGTCCAGTAGCAGCAGAGTCAGAGAAGATTGACATGGAAGATAGTGTGGAAGGTCATAAATCCTACCAAAATAGCTTGCTTCAGTTGGATAGCCTTATCTGGTGGTTGTTTAACACATGAAAATTTGATAAGAAGCCTCTCAGCAGTAGATGCTATATGTGCCTATAGCATCTGACATGTCACCTCCTACTTCACTGTGAGATAGCGAGAGAGATATGCAGTATATTCTTCTGCCTATTGGGGTACACTGGCTAATGCCCTTTCAAATCAAAGAAGCCTACAGAAGTTGGGGGCAGTGGAAAGTCAGTAAGTCCATCACTTTTTGGTGTTTATGGACGGAAAGAAATTGCGGATGATTTGATGGAGTCCTTATAAAAAAATATTCTAAAACCTAGATGCCTTGTAAACGTTTTTTGCTGGTGTAGATTCCATGTTAATAATTTTAATCAGTTTTTTGACTTTGAGTTCCTTAGACCACATATAGCAAAGCGCCATACAGGAGCTTCTCTCTTTTGCTCTCTGCCATAATTTTTAGCATCCTCTTGATGCATTTTCAGTGAAACTCCAATTACTTGATTAAAAAAAAAAGAAGAGAGGAGGTATTCCATCAAGACAGGGCATATCAGGAGAAAAGTTCATGCACGATGAGCTAAAGTTGAAGGAAAAGAAAGTGAACTAGAAAGGCTATCTTACCTGTATAGGATAAAAGGTAGACCTCTAATATGGAGCGTTTTTACCAATGTATGAGTACCCGACGAAAAGGTCAGTACGAAACAAATTTTTCTTCTATGTTTAGACAACATTTGACTGTTGCTCAGAACATCCAGAGGCAGCTTTTCTGATAATATGTTGAATTATTTTGCGGAAGGTACAGGAAGGATGTGAATAAACAAGGGAGGGAGCCTAGGAAAGACTTGGCATTAGGACAGCACAAACAAGCACATAAGCCAAACTCATATATACAGGAGAGAGTGACAGAAGGCTGAAAATATGTAAGTGTAATAAAAGCAAAATGCAACTTATATTCATGCGAAGGAGCAAAAGATGCCCTGAACAAGTTTCGATGTACACATTACCCAGTTGAGAACAATACTCACCTCAATATAAAGCTCTGTCATTTCATCAGTTATGTGAATTGGATAATTCTGCAGGAGCTTAGGTAAGTCAGACAAGGTTTCCAGGTACACTTCAGAGGACATAAGTCTCTTGCTTCCACGAAAGTCTGAAGCATTATCTTTTCTTAGAGAAGAGAAGTTTAGGGTGCCTGTTGAATGAACTTCAATGAGCGTCTTCAGATAAAGGAAAAGACTTTCCGGATTAGACCGCAGCTGAGACAAAATGTAATCCTTCTCCTCTCCTAAATGATTGACAATCAGAAAAAAGGTTCCTTCCCTGCAGAATACCAAAATTAGCAAAGATATTTCAGCACCGTGTGATTCTCCTCTAAAATAATAGGTTAGATAACTTGTCGCTTGCATAGAATGAACTTCATCTCATGAAAATCCAGCTTGACTATGAAGGACAAGCTTTGTGGAATTGTATAGCAACCTGTTCAACTTGAGTAGATCGGGGATTCGAGAAATGACTGCTGATCTAAAAGCATCAGATTCTTTGCCTCTCGGTTGCCGCAACATGCTATCAATAAATATGAAAGCAAGAATAGGCTCATCAACAGCTTTCATATAACTGTCCAAAGCAGAAAGATACTGATGTCGGATGGCATGAATTAAGCCGCAGACCTAAAATAATAAGCATGTCCTCTTAAATAAATTGAATTTGTTGATACATGATAGAAGAGAGAGGAAAAGAAACAGTTAACAAGGAAAAGTACCTGATGCAGTTGACCCTTCTCACATAAATTCAGTAAGTAATGTGCATCCCAGTCTTCCTCTGGCAAAACTTCTAAAAGTGCAGTCAGTTGCTTCTGTCTTCTGTTGAAGGTTTCAACAATCCGCCTAGACACATTGGGGTAAGTTTCGTTCCCCAGTGTCAGATACTCAAGAATTTGACGAAGGGTATCTTTTGAAACCGTAGCTTTTTCAAAGGTAATAAAAAAGGAAATAAAATCTAATATGTACTCGATATCTTTCTTTGTAGGCCAAATGTCAGTACATCTTTCGTCTTTACTGTTAAAAGAACCACCAGTTTGGAAATAACTCATATCAAGAATGGCAGCAAGAACATCTACTACTTTCTGAACTAAGTTTTCGCCTTCAATAGCTAAAATGTCTACTTCAGTTGTTTCCGTCTTTAAATTAGCTGGATTCCATGCAGGACTGAAACTTTCGTTTCCACCTTCTACAAATGCATATCGGAAAACATCTAAGGTGGCCTCTGTGTCGAGCTCTAACAGAGAGAGCAGGTTTGGGTGCGGTCCACTGTATGGTAAGCACATTGCTGTAGAAGAATTTGGAGAACTCGCTTCCTCCAACAAAAACTGCACAAGCTCTCTTTTAAGAGACGGCACACGTGTGGGAGGGAGAGTTCCACGCCCTGCACACAGTTCATCATCAATTGCTTGAGGCTAAACACAAAAAGAACAGCTAAGTAAAAGATAGTGTGTGAAAATACCACAGGAAGGTCCACACAAGAAGCAGAGAGAAGTGGTGGAAGACAACTCCAGCATGCATATGGTGAACGATATGGAGGGAAAGAAATGCAAGATGCTCATAAGGAAGCGGTAATTTAATCCAGAAAATCAAAATGAATTATATATTTCTGTTTCACTTTTGGTGTAAAGAAAGCTTTTTAGAAGATGCTCAACCTTTAATAGAGATTATTGAGTCCTTGTAAGATGAACAACGACACATCTTTTTGCTGTTTTGTATTGCAAATTTGGCTCCAGCACAGCCTTTGTGCTGATTTTCAATACACTTTTCTCATATAGAAAAAAGGCAGAAATGCAGAGTAGCTAAAACATCTTTTTAGTTAAAGTTTCATTATCTTCAGCATAAACTCCCCATCCCCAGTCCTTGTTTCTCCCCTGGATAAGATGCCGAGGTGCACATATCATTAGGAGATCTACTGTGCCAGTCTTCAAAGACTAAATATGAAAATATAACAGGATATAGGCAATGCAACATGTCACGGTGGATATTGTGGGGAAATAGGTAATGGAGATAGCAAAACTATTGAAAATTGATTTTGAGAATAACCCCATATGTCTTGAGGGAATATTCCTCTTATCTTTTAACTTTCTCAAGATTCTCTTAACACCTTCTTTATCCCATTTTTTACGTCCCCAAAACCTCTTGCTCCTATCCTTCAACTTCTCCGTGAACTACTATCTATCTAAAAACTTCTCCTTAAAGTACTTCAACTTCTTCAAACAAAAGAACCAACACAACCATATACCAACCAAAGTAATTGCCTCCTCGAAGACTCTGATGCTCACACAAACAAGGGAAATGTCAAATGCATTCAATTGCCCTCAAAATACATGAAGCTGAATGTCTTAACTTTAACTTTATATGTGCATACAATATTTGACAGTTCCATATTTCTTTTAATCTAGCTCGTTTCCTCAGTTGAACTAACCGTCAAATTTTTCAAATTTAACTGATATCACAAGAATCAACCACCACAATAGAGAAAAATAATAGAGTTGCTAGGAAGTGAAACCCAAAATATAACCCCTTTTCTTCTGCTATCAATCTATTAAAGCACGGAATAACTAACGGCAGTTTAGTGTTCAAGCAAGCATAGAAAAAAGAAGTTTATCAAGCGGTAAACCATCTCAAATTTAATTGTGTATATGTTACAAATAGCATACTGCAGACCAACCTGGAGGAAAAGCAAGACCTTGGAAGCAGTACTTGAGGTAAACGAGCATCTTATACCTGTTTCCACAAGGAAAGTAAAGTTTGTTTACTTGAAACACCAAGTACATTTCAAAAGATGTCAAAAAATGGATGAAACTTTAGGAATTGGATCACCTACTTTAGGCAGAAATTTACATTAGATGGGGGCATTAAATTTGTAGAAGTTATGAGACATGTTCAAACAATTATACACATTTATCAACTTACCCAAGAGTAGTAGCACTTTCTCTTTTGCTATCCCGCAAAATTAAAAAGAGCTCTTCCAAAGGAGTCCTAAAATCATCAAGACCTTTGTTAAACAAGTAGATCAATGCACCATGCAGCCTATGCTCCCTGCATAGGCGAATAACCTACAAAGTAGATTAAAATTTTACAGTTAAAGTCCAACAAATTCACAGGAAAGAGAGAAAAAAACAATTGCAGATCAAGCCTATAATGGAAGCTTTATTTCATTCATGCAACTTTTTACATGCAATATTTCCCCTGTTTAAGGACAATCTCCTTTGCACTTCTGTCTTATTAACCAAAACATTCATGACGGGTATAAAACATGCAGCAATACCTGATTGAAATCCAGGGACAACATGTCCATGTGGAGGACACACTGTTCAACACGCTGTAACCAACCTTTAGTGCTATAGTGCTCCACTAGTGCTTGCATTATCTTCAGCAATAAGAGATCAAAGTAGATCAACAACCATATTATAAGCTTTGATAAATGAACCACAAAGCAAGTGTGCAACAGTGGCACAGTAAAGTAATAAGAGTGTAAAAACCCCCAATTCAAAAGTTCGTCACAAATCAAAACCACGGAAATACCTCAGGTGGTAAAGATCCTAACATGTCTTTCAAAATATATGGCTCCAGAAGCTCCAAAAAAGTATCTGTACATCAAAACATATAGTTTGAACAGTCTATTAACTTCATCACGATAACACATGTTGCAAATTGGAGTAAAATAAGAAGAGAAAAAGGCAAAAGCCCAGACTTCCATTAGGGGAACATGAATGGAATTAAAGGATTAAATAACAGTCTGTTAAATGTCTCTATTCTATTACCTTTTCTAATAACAGTGGTGTCCAAACTAGCCTGAGCAGACCAACTAACCAACTAATCTTTCATGTACCTGCTAACTCCCACCAGCACAGGAACAGGTAACTTTGCCGGCTAAGTCTTAAGCAGATGAGAAGAATTTACTCTGTGTTGCCTCTGTCAGAAATTGAACTCTCAAGGTTGTCAGACCAGGGACTACAAGGCCAATCCGTTGGGGCTCCAATATGCATCAGTTTTCCCTATTGTTCTTATCAATATATAGCTAGTTTCTGGAAGAATTTTTTTTTTATTTGTTTTATACTGCCAGAAAAATGGATATTGTATGTTTTCTAATATATTGGATGTCAGTTACTGCAGAAAGTTGAGTTCCAGAGGTTAGTAGGCAGGAGAGAGGAGGGGACTGGGGGGAAAGAAAAAGTTACTAAACAGACGTGAAATAATTGTTTATTCAAACTATGGTTTGTCCCTTCGATTCAAACTCTCTGCTTAACAATATGTTCACCCTATTATCATCAGTTCCTCATAAATCGTTACCTAGTTAATTCACTATGGTACTGGAGGCATCACTAATATTTTATAGTTTTGTTATGATAAGCAATTTTCTTTTTCATCAAGGAGGCATCAAAGAGGCAAGCTTGCAAATAGTTGACATGAGACATAATGCAGAAAGTTGAAGTCTAAACACATTGCAACATACCCTTGTGATTCACAGCGTCAAACTTCGGAAAAATTTCATCAAAGAGAACATCAAGTCTCTTGATATGAAGACAGAATTCAACGGAAACACCACCAACCACAGTGTACTGCTCCTTAATATCAGGATGCACAAAGTCAGCATCATACTTAGATTCATTTGATTGGCCTGACTGCCCATGTTGGTTGCCAGATGCCACTGCTATGTAGGAGAATACCTCATCTACATATGACAACAGCAACTGTACAAGATATGGTATAAGAATCTTCTGAACATCATCCAAATTACTTGGAAGGTCAATAACTGCTTGTGCTCGACCATCATAAAGAGACATTGCCATGTTCAGCGCACTCGTCCAGTCACCTCCTTTATGCAAAACCTCTATTCGTTCCTTCCAGGAAAGAAGGCGTGAAACAACAAGCTGGGATGGCCGCAGAATGTACAAAGTTTCCCCCCTGACACCTAAACAATTGTGATGCGCTTTCTCAGGGTTTCCAAAAGCATTGCTGAAGTAGGCATGGTATGACATGACATCATCTCCACAAGATCCATCCAGAGCAAAACTTCTCTGGTGGATCAAGTTCCCATCTTTTGAAAACAAACAAAGTCGTCCAGTTGCCGTGAGAATTACCAAAATCTGGACAAGTAAAAAACCCTTGTAATCTTTGTACTTCTGTCAAAAACTAAATGCAAGTACACCACATATTGCAGATAAATGACAAAAAAAAGGAAGTTCCTGATAAAGCACCAAGAAATTTATACACCTGTTCATCCAACCATGCCAGCCCAACTGCTGAGCTATCTGTAGTCCATTTCCAACAAACTTTTAGCTCTGATTTCACCAGCTTAGCAACCTGAACACTTTGATCCCAAGCAATTGCAAGCAGTGAAACATTTTCTGATGTTTCAATGGACATACTTTCTGCTGCAAGAAAAACAATCTTAGCAAGCCTCAATGCAAAGTAACCATAGGCGGAATTCACACATAACACCTGAAGAACTAAGTGATCCCATACATTTCTTCCAAGCAGCATATGGCATTGAACCCTCCCTAACACCATCAGAGCGTGCAATTTTAGCATAAACTTTAAATGTGGGGCTTATTTTTGCCTGCAATAGACAGTGAAACAAAAGTCCTGAGCAAGAAGTAGGAATGAAGGTTAAACTGATCATTTAAAAAGAATTTGGGTTTTGAGGAGATTGTGAGGTCCTTCCAAGGAAATGAATCTTCTAAAAACTTCATACCACTAGAGCATATTGGTGTGTGCCAAATATGACCACACCTTCCTCAATCAAAGAAGGGTTGCCTCCATCTAGAGAAGCCACCATTGCACCTCCATAACTTTCACCAGATAGTAGTGGCACAGCACATATTGTAGTGCTATTGTTTTCCGTTAGTATTTCCTGTTTAAATGTATTAAAGTATATTATTCAATCTAGCCATTCCCATAATTCATGTCAATTGAGAAGCATAAAAAGGATATTTTTACCTGTGACTTCGAAAGGGAGATCATATTGATCAAGGGAAGCACTTTAAACCGGCTTAACTTAACTACACCTTTAGTATCACCGCTGAGCACATTAAACTGACGAGTAACTTGAGAATCCTGCCCTAAATATAAAAGGTGCACCACTGGAGCTTTATGTTCAGTGACAACTTTAAGCACAGAGGCCCTTTGCACATCCCATACAGTATAATGCCCATCACCATATCCTGCAAAGAGCAAGTCCCCTTGCTGATTAAAGCTCAAGGAAGTTACAGGGACTTGAGGTCTATCTCTCGGCAACCCAAAAATCAACATCTGAAATATATAGACATTTCTGCCATCAGAAAGAAACATATTTAATAATTCAGTAGCATCTAAAACCTTTAACTTAAGTAACAAGAAAAAATCCACAATACAGATATAGAGATTCTACAATAAGCAATGAGTAATTTCCTTCTCAGAAGTGCATATAGCTAAATATTTGTTAAATTACATTCACATAAGTTCAAAGAAGAAAGAAAGAATAATATATTTTGGAATAGACCAATACTTTTTGTTGAAACCTAACTGAGAATGTGGTCAGTCACTGTAATAAGGTACTGGTGCACAAAGCTAATTAGCAGAAAAACAAACCTTAGCATCCATGTCATCAGCATGATGTGGAGAGTATCTGCTTGGCATCACAAGAATTGATCCTCTGGACATTCCCACAGCAATGTAGTTGAGGTGAACAGCCAAGGCCTGCGAAGATCCATGTTCTCGCCTGAAAGCTTGAGATAACAGGGTTTGAGTAATAGTGTTATTATCATCTACATCAAAGTAACCCAAGACATTAGAACCCCTATGAACTCCATCAAGCCTCATTGGTTGAGCAGCAGCACCTTCTTCCAAGTGCATAGCCGTGAAGGCCTGCTTCTTTTCAGCTTCCTCAGCCAATTCTAAGGGCTTCAAGGCAGAGTGGTATTTTTTCAGAGGCGTTGTACTATCCCTCATACTTTCCCCTTGTAGAACTAACTCCTCAATGATACTTGCAGCATCATCTAGAGAATCGTTTTCATCTCTAGGGGAACAGGTCTCTTCCTCTTTAGATTGAGAAATTACATTCTCAAGCTCATGTTTAACACCATCCTTTTCAGTTTTGTCAGAAGGACTGCCATAAACTGGAGAAGAGAGTATCTCATTTGTAGCAGCTTCTTCACTGCTATCAGCACTTGTAACATTATCTTCACCTCCAGATAAAGATTGAACTTGCCTATCTTCAATCTCATCCAGCCGAGAGCTCTCATTAAAAATAAAGTCTTTTTCAGTTCTAGTAGGAAATTCCACTAGAGATCCAGTATAATTTGGAGCTTCCTTCAAATTACTTTTATTTGAAAATTCATCCATCTCAGAAACATCATCTCCAGCAACGCTCGTATTATCCTGACCTGCATCCACTGTAGAAACCTCCTTACTAGTCAAGTCAATATTCTCAGAACCAATCTCGTGTAAAAACCCTGAGCGCCCAAACGTATCAAGATTTTTGTCCGAAACGTTGGTATCATTACGGGATGGAGGAGCTATGGAAGCCGATGCATCAGTTTCCAAAGCCCTTTGCAACACTGCAGAGCTTGCTCTTCTGGATTTGATGGCTGCTGCACGAGGTGCAGGAATGGAGCGTGATGCAGCAGCTGCCGCAGCGAAGGCATCCCCGGGCTTTGAATTTGATCTGATGACCCCATTAAAAAATGGTGGCAACACAGTCTGGCCTGCCGGTGGTGAAAAAAATTCACTGGATTGTTTGCTACTAATTGACTCAGGTCTTGGCTCTGCAGATTGGGAAGACGAGTCTACAGAGCGACTGCGACGATCTAGATAATTGTGTCCATGTGCAGCAGATGGCGAAGAAGGAGGAGAAGGTGAAGAAGAAGAAGAAGAAGAAGAAGAAGAAGAGGAGGAGTGGTTGAGGAGAATTTCATCAACAGTGCGATGATGTAGTAAGTGATCATCGTCGTCGTCATCAGCATGTGACTCTAAAAACGAATCGAGGTCAAGCTCCATTTCAAGTCTTCACTCACTACTGCTTTTATCTATGTTGCAAAACCGATTAGCTCTTTGTCCCTGTAAACAAGGTCCAGTGAAATTATAAAGGAGATTTATACAAGGTACTATGTCTACAATGCTATCGCAGGTCTATTGTGAATAACTGAAATTAATCTACTAAATACCAAAATTCTACCATAAAACTAAGAAATTGAAGCAAGAGATTACCTTGATTGGAACAAGAACTCATAAATTTATTCTTCTTCGGTTTATTTTCCAGAATAAGTAAGGAGAAGAAGAGTATTGCCAAGTTAGAGAATAGCAATGGGTGTATGTTTCAACCCGGTTCCTTCGGCCTTCTCCTTTCTAATAAGGTGAAATTGTTTCCTTAACTGGTATACCAAAATAATCTATTTATCCCTAGTTGGGTTTTTCGTTTTTCTTCTTTCAATATATATGTGAAAACAATGTGAAAAGAGCAAAAAGAAGAATAAAAATGAAATTTGTCAGGAATTCCGGGGCTAAAAATACTTCATTCTTCAGCCAAAACAAGGCGGACTTTCACAACTGATGAAATGGGACCAGACCGTTTCGTCAGCCCAAGGTAGCCCCTCTCTGAAATGGGCCTTAGTATTAGTATTATTATTATGAGATATGAGATTTTTACACAATAAGTCACTTATGTAAATTTATTTGTTTAAATAACATCACTTTTGATTTATTATAAAATAGCAAATTCATTTACAAGTCTAGCACATTAAAGGTTTAGACATTAAATGACTAACAAATTTAAAAATCAATTATCCACAAATTAAGGGATCAATTTATACTTTCTCTCTCATCACCCCTAACAACTTTCGTTTTTTTCTTTATTATTCATCCATATCACTTGCTTTCAATATTCTATCAAAGTCTCTCCATGTCTCTCCCCACTCCTTCTAGACACCACCATCCTTTCTTCATGACCATAATTAGGTTCACCAAAATCATTACAAAATTCAAATTATAAGTGAGAAACCATGGAAGCTTTCTAGCAAAACTTTTGGCGAGAAAAGAACGTACTTGTATAAAATGTGAATTATACCATGCATGTTATATATACAATATATTATTGGTATATTTCTGTATCTCTGAATACCATTTGGTGATGACTTATTTTTACCATACATGTTATATTCACAACATATAATTGAAATATTTGTGTGTATTTTTCAGAATTGGAAGGTGTTATCGGTGTAAGTTTTTAAAATTTATACATATTTTATACGGATTATAAAGTGATTGTACCCTAGATACATATAGTATATTTTTTACATTTCAGGATTCGGTATTTTAGATTTATATAACATCTGATTTGGATCTATATATATTTATTTCAATTCAAATATATGCGATGTATACATAGGGTATAATTAGCACCTCATAGAGTTCTGAATATAAAAGACACAAAGCAAAACTAACAATGTAACTTTATATGCCATTTATATTTCTAGTATAATATATTCAAATATTATAATTTATACCAATAATATTTATACTTCATAAAATAATTGTTTAGCATGCATATACCATTTACACATACGGTATGTAATAGTTATAATGTCAATATTTCAACTATTTATCCAAGTAGACATTTTTATCGAAGCATAGTTGGAAGAGAGAGAGAAACTAAAATCACATTCATCAATAAATCATCTATGACAAAATCATTCTTCGGAATAGAGATAAAAGACAAGGAAAAGTCAGTTGAGCATTTAAATACATAGTAATTTCCTAAAATTTAGGAACATGGGTAGGATAACTGTTACGAATTTTTATTATAAATATAAATATGTAATTGCTAGAAATGTTAATCAGTGCTATTGCTATGACATTGTAAAAGTTTTTAAAATATTGGACAATTATATTTTTTCCTCTATTATTATAGAGACGAATTAAACCAAATGGCCGTCTACCCAACCGTTAAGGTAAAGATAGCCAACAGGTATATAATATAAGTATAATTTATTTTTAAAATATTATTAATATAATTAATATATAATTTATGTATACCGACTAAAATAAATAAGAAATCTTGTAGGCTAATTATATAAAGAAATAAAAGCCTGGGCTTACTATCGGACTGTAGCTAATGTTCAAAGAATGAGAAGCATTTATTACTATTTCTTCTTTTTTACTACTTTAATTAAGTTAAGTGTTTTGATAAGTTTACAGTAATTGCTGGGGCTACAATATACATCCCTTATCTTGATTATAATTTTAAATGCTACCGATGCAGAGTTGATTTACACTATTTGTGTAGTTTTAGATTAAAGTTGAAATTTTAGATTAATGTGTACAACCACGATATAGGCATTGGACTTGTAAATATATTCATAATTTTTCGGGCACAACCAATCTCTATTTGAAATTCCTTCATTTGTAGGAGTACATCTTGAATTTATCGATTATGTTATGATGGATGAAACTTTATGCCTTGTAAAATGATTAGTTTGGAAGTTTTCTTTATTAAAACCATGCTTCTCTAAATAATTTACTTAACTAATTAAAGTTTAACTTATATATAGGTTTACATTAAATGTGTTATTAAGTATTTATAAGTTGCTTTATTTTAGTATGTTAATGCAAATGATATCATTGTTTTGTTTGAACTACAACAAAGAATGTGTTTGGAATAAGGGTGCTTATCGGACGGATAATTACGCTTAACAGTTCGTCTTATCGGTTATCGGATTATAAACAAGGGCGTATCTATGTTAGCAAATGTGGGGCATATGCACCCATCCTCTTGCCAAGTAAAAGCAGATTTTATGTATAAATTTTTATTGATTTAGCCATATAGAGTAGATGGCACCCATGCTCAAATATTGGCACTGGTGCCTCCGGTCAAGACCCCATGGAGACACATTAATATAATACTACGTATTTAGTTTGTACTTCGTAGCTCTTTTTTTGTTTTAATTCTATTTTTTTTTTCCTTCTTATCATTTTTTCTTTTTTATCTCCTCCAAGTCTTCATGGTAATCAAAGGAGTCGGAGATTAAACTAATTATTACTTCCATTGAGATTTGTCTTATCTTGAACCACTATAAATTGATTTTATTATAAATAATTTATGTAACAATAAGATCTAAGTTCATGATGATCCTTGTTTAAATATTTTTATACCAATTTATTGGTTAAACATGTCACGGCCCAATTTCTCCAATAGGTCGTGATGGCGCCCAACATTTACCGATAGGCAAGCCAACCTTAAGCTAACTCCGCGATCTTTCTTTTAACGGTTTAAAATAGTTGATTTTTAATTTATGCACATAATAAAAAATGAAAGTTTTATAAAAAATGAGAGATCAAAATTTTAAAACGAGTAAGATAAGATATATAACCCAAAACCATCAAGTGCCTACTAACATAAATTTTCAAGACCTGGTGTCACAAGAGTACGGGTTACTAGTAGAATATACATAAGATTTACTACTCTACTATCTGAAATAAAATAGACAGAATAATAACAATAAAAAGACTTCGGCTGCTGCAGAACGGCTCAGAAGGGCAGCTCACCGAGTAGTGTCGTACTAGGAGTCAAGCGTGCGCGCCGGACTGATATCCAGATGCACCCACCTTAGATCCTGCACATTAAGTGCAGAAGTGTAGCGTGAATACATAAACAACGTGTACCCAGTGAGTATCTAGTCTTACCTCGAAGAAGTAGTGACGAGGGGTCGACTTCGACACTTACTGTGGCCCAACAATATAAAAATATAAATTTCTAATTAAACATGATACATAAAAATAATAATAGAACTCCGAGCAGGAAGCAAATAAATAATTTCTTTTATCGCGAGTAGGAACCAAGTCATTTCTCTCATCTAACCATTTCACCTCTCAAGCCCATGAAACAATATTAAATATATAGAAAGGATTCCAATATCTTTACGCACGAATTATGTCGTGAACATACGGTCCGATCCAAATATACATATACATATATTGTGCACTATCGAGGGTCGAACGACACGAACCATAAATGCATCTATTAATCTGTCGAGGTGAACGACCCGCTCCCATGAGAGTAGTAAAAATTTATACCGCTCGCGGAATATACTTGCGACGCGGTTGAACATAGACTTTTCTAAAGTTATCAAAATATCTCTCAATTCTTTCTAAAATAAGAAATTCAACTAGAAGCTTCTAAAGTATTGAAATCCTCAACCTCAACTTTATACTAGACAATTAGTAAGCATAAACAAGCAGCAGTATTAACAAAGCATATTGTGAATCTAAATCTACCTGGGCATAAGCATGAATAGTAGCTACGCACGGACTCTCGTCACCTCGTGCGTACGTAGCCCCCATAAATAGAAGAACATTTTTAATTCAATTCACCTATGGGGTTAGTTCCCTCTTGCAAGGTTAGAAAAGAGACTTACCTCGCCTCAAAGTCTACTTTCCGATCCAAGATTATGCTCAAATCCTCAATTTGGTACCGAACAATCCAAAACTAATCAAATAGTATATAAACTAATCAATACATGTTCAAAAGTTCATATTCCAACTATTAAAGTGATTACCCAACCCTAAATGTAAGATTCCTAAAATTCACCCCTAGGCCCACGTGCCCGGATTTTTGAAAAACTTTGAAGAAAGTTATTACCCATAACCTCACGAACTCAAATATATAATTTTTACTACATTCCATAACCAATTTCGTGGTCAAATCCTATTTTTATCCAAAATCTAGGTTTTCATCTAAACCCTTGATTTTACTAAATTTTATATGTTAATCTACCCATAATCTGTATTTAACTCATGTTGTGTAGAAATTACTTACCTCAAAGTGCTAGGTGAAACCCCCCCCTTCCAAGAGCTCCAAAATCGCCCAAGAGATGAAAGAAAATGAGCTAAATGACCTAAGTCCCGCATTTAATAAGGCTGTGTACATGTCGCAAATGTCGCATTTGCGATACCTGGTTCGCAAATACGACCAAGGGGTTGCAAATGCAAACACTGCTGAGGTCGCAAATGCGACCAAAGTGTCGCAAATGTGAACACTGCCTAACTCAGGCTTCTTCGCAATTGCGAAGCCTTCCTCGCAAATGCGAGGTTCACAAATGCAAACAAATTCTCGCATTTGTGAGACCTGCAACAACTAGCAAGAAACACTAGAAAAACTGAAGTTTTTCTCATCCTCTCGAATGTCCGAAACTCACCCGAGCCCTCGAGGCTCCACACCAAATACCCACACAAGTCTAACAACATCATACAAACTCACTCGAGCGATCGAAATACTGAAATAATATATAAAAAAAACCACGAATCGGACGCCAAAACGCATGGATTAACTCATGAACTCAAAAACGTCTAAAAATACTTTCGCACATTCGATTCCTATCAAATCAACTCGGAATGACGCCAAATTTTGCGTGCAAG